TAAAGCGTTAATCACACAGAACCCATTAATGAAGCGATACTGAGTAGAACCCTCAGGATAGCCTATCGCGTTCACAGTAATAATGCTCATTCATGACTTGATAATTTAATGCTCACTTTATCATACCAGAATGTGAGAAATATAAACCATAACAGGATTAATATAAGATTATCTCTATATTAATATGAAACTAATTTACATTAAATCAACCATGGAACCCAAGAATTATAGCACTGTTAGAAGCATTTTAAAGAAAAAGCCAGGAGAAAGAATTGCACCTTATGTTTTTAAAATCAATGATACCCAAACTCTCCAGGAATAAGTGCTTTTTTATTTTTATTATCATAACCTAAGCCATAATCCACTACATATGTTAATCTTTTTTATATATTAATATATGTTCCTAAGGTATATATTTATTGCAATGAAGAATATGATTCTGTGATGCATTTTACTGTTAGAAACAAGAAGACATCAGCAATGCTGTAATGCAGATAAACAGACTGCACAAAACATGCAGGTCAGAAGGTTCTGGTATTTATTGTAGTACTGGCATTACATCATTATCATGTGGGAGCTGGATGATGACATAAGACCATGATGATTCTAACATTTCATAGTTAATTTATGTTTAGTATTAGTATTATTAGCTTTGAAACAATCAATAATGCAAGTTTATGCAATTAACTACTAATCCATGAATGCAAGAGTGCATTTTGAGCACTTGTCTTCTTTCCCTTAAGCTTGTCCACAAAGTCCTTTCCATTAGCAGATAGCTTGGAAGAAAAATTCTCTAATAACTTTCCAAGCTGATACATATCTGATGATGGTTTATATTTGCCATGATCTAAGGTATTTTCATCCCATTCATTCAGTGTGATGTTGACATGTGTTCCTGCATGAAGTCCATGTTCAAAATCAATAAGTATATACTTGTAACCATCTTGAGCATGATTGTCATAGACAATATTTGGCAATCGAATGTCACAATGAACAAAGCCTCCTTGGTGAAGTTTGACCAGGCCAGTTAATATGCTTTTAGTCATTTCACATAGTTCATTTTCATCCCGTGGCAAGCGTTGAACTCCTTGTGTTACTAGCTTGACTTGATAAAATCCTTTTCCATTTGGCTTAGGGAAAAACTTAGGTTCTTCATCAATTTGCACAAGCCCAGGAACATTCAGAGCACAGATATACATTTTTTGGAGAAATTTGGTGCGATTCCTAGGATTATCACCATATGGGAGAGCCTTTTCTGGAATTGTTTTGATGACCAAGATATCCTCAAACACAATTGTACTCTTATCTGTAGTAATTATCTTGCCAATTGGGAAGGCATTATCATGTAGTTGGTCCCTAATAGTTACCAAGATTCTTGCAATATTGATAACTGTGTGAAGAACATTCTTGCGTCCATTAAGAGTGCTAATGTCCAGGCGGTCAGTAAGTTCAAGTAAGGTAGTAGTAGGTGCAGTATTAGTATTAGATTGGGAAGCATCCAATGCATAGAAGCGAATTAAAGGTCCAGCAGCAGCATAGCAGATCATGAACTGCACTGAACCAAAAGCCAAGGGATCAATTGTGTTGAACTTCTTTGTAAGCTCTGTAACTGCTTTGCCAAAGTCCTCCATTTGACCTTTCTCCTCAGCCTTAAAAATAAGAACATTATTTTCTTGCAAAAGAACATCTGGGCGATTAGATCCTACAGTTGTAGACTGGGAATCTTTTTGGTTCCTATCTATGAAAATAGGTAGCATAGAACCAACTTGATTCTTAAACAGCTGTAGAGGCTTCCTGACCAATGTATCTAGGGCCCAATGCTTTAGATCCTCAGATCCAGGACCAAGAGCATCCTCTGCAACAGCATTTGATAATGCCATACTAACATGAACTGCCAATATACTTCCACGAGTTGATGTCTCTGTTTTGATAAACCCTTCAAGTATGGGATGTCTTATCTCCTCACCAGAAGCAGCAGGCAATTCTTGAAGAAGTGGGGCCTTGATAAGATTCAATAGGTCATTTGCTTGCTTTGGGATAATTTCAAATGGCTGTAGCAATTTTTTGCATATAACACCAGATAAATCAGGGGCCAAAGCCTCATCAATAATCATTTGTTTTACACCCCTTGTTATTTCAGATATAGCTTCACCTATAATTATAAAAAGAAATAAGATCAAGTATAAGCCATAGCAGTTACAGGTCACTATTGGGTGCATACAAAATATCACTCACCAGTAGTAACTGGGGGGATGGGAGGCGAATGAGTGAGAACGTCGATTTGGTATGGTTGAGTAGTGGGAAAACCTAAACAGATAGATGATGCGGATGGAATCACAACACATGTATACGAAGGTAGCATGATCGAATAATTAACAACGAGAGCAAGCGGTTAAACGCGATGACAGCATGGAACGTGGCATCGACTTTGGGATATTCAAACGAGTGAGACTTACCACGTTGGCCTAAGAGGTGGTCGATTTCTCGTTTGATACCAATGGCAGGTCCAAAGGGCATTCCAGCAGCCGTTAGGATTTTTACCGTGACACCGGACAAAAATTCACCCCTCAATTCGTTGTCTTTGAGGATTTTCGCATAACTATCTTTGAAGCCGTCAATGGTATTCCGCATGTGTGCAATAACATCATCCTCTGTCCAGGTTTGAAAATCGGAAGGGACAGCAAATTGTTGGGAGCTCAATGATGCCATGAGACGAACGAAGAGGCAATTGCAGAGATCAGGCTGCTGACAAAGTAAAAAAAACAATGTGCGGCTGTTGCAGCAATTGGTGAAATGTGTCGCGGCGCGGCGCGGCACAAGCTTTTCGGTGACGTAATTTTTTTTTCCGGTTGTCCTTGCGGCGGCGGAGTGTAAAAATCTCTGATGAATTGCAAACCCTCGATATTAATCCTACATTATTAGTATACAGAATATTTCCAGGCGAAACTTCAACGTACAGACGACGGTTATAAATACCAAAAGCAAATTCCCGTTCCACTATTTTTCAATAACCAAGCAACATGTTGTGCATCACGAGTGGTAATAATAAAAAACATGAAAAAAAATTTTTTCGGTGAACGTATTTTTTCCTAACTCGCGTAACGGTAACTCTGATGTAGTACGAGGATTTCTAAAGATCAGCCGTGAAACCAGTAATGAAATTCCTGCACGACGAACAATTTTATTAACGCGCAACAAAGCGGAAATGTAGTAGTAGGCGTAACTCCGGCAAGCCGAATTGGCAACCATAGAACAATAACTCGATGATAGATGCGATTATAAATTAGTGCTAAAAATAGATAAATTATAGACGCTTGAAAGATATACACCCCCCTGCCAAAATTATAAGTGCAGACGACGATCATTCGAAATCTTCTTCACAATCGCATCATTTCAAATCTAGTTTACCCAGAAACCCGCATAATAAAAAGC